CCATCTGCTAGGTTACGGTCGCAGTCTGAAGCGGCTTTGATTTGGATCACACTACCTTGTTTCTTACGACCTGCTCTTCTCTGCTTCTGATTGGCTAGTAGTCCTTACCTGGGAACTGCGCATGTGCAACTCCCAACAAAGATTTTGTACAAGTAAGATGCATCACTCTGTAGCTCAAGAGCGGAGCGTACAACACGCAGGGTGAAAAGAGGAGCTGTGTTTTTTGAAAATGAAACCATGTAAACCTGTTCTGGTACAACCCCTAATTAAGATTTAGAACCTGAAAATGAGCATAATACCACCTCTTTAACTATACACAGTAGTTTAATGTCTTACAAACAAACCTTATCTCTTATGAATGTTCACATGCATGTGAAATGCACACACATGCAAACACAAACAACTCTGCAACATGTTCACTGACAGCTTATTTTGCAGATCACCGTTGCTCAAAGAATGATGGAAAAAAGCCAATTACTGCTTGACTTCACTGAATTGCCCCTGGTGGCTATTCCACCAGTGTGTGAATGTTAGTTTCTGTTTGGAGCACTTAGGCTCAGTGTGTGAATGCAGATGTAGTGTAAAAGCGCTTTGAGACGAAAGACGAAATCGAAAAGACTAGAAAGGCGCTATACAAATACAGAGCATTTACATTTGATATTATTAAAATCTGAACGCATTCATCTTATATATTATATTGTAGTATCCCATTCTAAATTAAATTTCCAGCCCATAGGCCAGCTGATGCCTCTTGATTTATTAAATACCTCATCCTATAGTAGTAGAGACAGCACTTTACATTCCAAAACACTAATGACCTAGTACATTACCTACAATATGAACACATTTATGAAGGGTTGTTCACACATTGTATCTTTCATTGCCTGCGGCAAATTTATACATGATGATGCCTTTCTGGGATCCTCATGAAGATTTATTGTTCAACATCATGTTCTGCAAATGTTGGTAACACTTAACTTTATGTCCCCTCATTTAGCATTTATAAGCAAAGATACAGTGGTGTGAAAAAGTGTTTGCCCCCTTCCTGATTTCTTATTTTTTTGCATGTTTGTCACACTTAAATGTTTCAGATCATCAAACAAATTAAAATATTAGACAAAGATAACACAATTAAAACTAAATTAACACAAAAAAAATCAAACCTACATGGCCCTGTGTGAAAAAGTGATTACCCCCTAAAGGTAATAACTGGTTGGGCCACCCTTAGCAGCAATAACTGCAATGAAGCTTTTGCGATAACTTGCAAAGAGTCTTTTACAGCGCTGTGGAGCAATTGTTGTAATTCAGCCACAATGGAGGGTTTTCGAGCCTTAACCGCTTTTTAAGGTCATGCTACAATATCTCAGTCGGATTCAGGTCAGGACTTTGACTAGGCCACTTCAAAGTCTTCATTTTGTTTATCTTAAGCAATTCAGATGTGTACTTGCTGGTGTGTTTTGAATCACTGTCCTGCTGCAGAACCCAAGTGTGCTTCAGCTTGAGGTCACGAACATATGGCCGGACATTCTCCTTCAGGATTTTTTGGTAGACAGCAGAATTCATGGTTCCATTTACCACAGCCTTTACCAAAGTCTTCCAGGTCCTGACGCAGCAAAACAGCCTGAGACCATCACAACACCACTACCATATTTTACTGTTGGTATGATGTTCCTCTTCTGGAATGCTGTATTACATTTATGCCAGATGTAATGGGACACACCTTCCAAAAAGTTCAACTTTTGTCTCATCAGTCCACAAGATGTTTTCTGGCAAAACTGAGACGAGCCTTTATGTCTTTTGCTAAGCACTGGTTTATGTCTTGGAACTCTTCCATGCAGGCCATTTTTGCCCAGTCCCTTTCTTGTTGTGGAGTCACGAACACTGACCTTAACCAAGGCAAGTGAAGCTTCCAGTTCTTTGGATGTTGTTGTGGGGGTTTTGTGACCTCTTGAATGAGTCTTTTGGTCGGCCGGCCACTCCTGGGAATATTCACCACTGTTCTATGTTTTTGCCATTTGTGGATAATGGCTCTCACTATGGTTCACGGGAGTCCCAAGTTTTAGAAATGGCTTTATAACCTTTTTCAGACTGATAAATCTCAATTACTCTGTTTCTCATTCGTTCCTGAATTTCTTTGGATCACAGCATGATGTCTAGCTTTTGAGGATCTTTTTGTCTACTTCACTTTGTCAGGCAGGTCCTATTAAAGTGATTCAGAACCGGTGTGGCAGTAATCAGGCCTGGGTGTGGCTAGAGAAATTGTACTCAGCTTCGTGATAAACCACAGTTTATTTATGTTTTAAGGGGGGGTATTAGGCTTAGGGGGCAATCACTTTTTCACACAGGGCCATTTATCTCTTAATAATAAAAACCTGCATTTTGTGTTTACTTTTGTTATCTTTGTCTAATATTTGATGATCTGAAACATTTCAGTGTGACAAACATGCAAGAAAAAAAGAAATCAGAACGGGGGCAAACACTTTTTCACACCACTGCGGTTTATAACACACTATAATGTAGTTGTCAGCAGAGATAAAGGTGGAAGGTGAAGCTGGTGGTTAAACAGATAATAAATGACAGCACAGTAAAACACAGATGTAATAACAGAAAAATGTGTCTTCATAAGAAAAGGAATGATTGCAGACAAATACTGTATATTAATTAATTAAAAATGTTTTTATATGTGCTTAAAATTATATTGTAGTGTGTTAAAATCCATTTATTAAATTCGTATTTACTGCTTAGAAATGCAACACTGAATGAATTATAAATATATCATGAATAAGGAAATTGAAATAAAGTCTCTATCTGAAATACTATTCATTTCTTTCTACAAGACTGCAGATCTGGTCCAGTCTTTACCCTCACTACAGTCTCTTTACTTTACTTTTACTGTTTCTCCTCCAAATGTGCTATTAAAATACCATTCCGTATGACTAACGTATGATATGAGAGCAACTCCTTGTACACCACAGGAAACTCTCTGAACATGACCTAATTCAATCATCAACAGGGTAATTGCAGCTCTTCAAAATCCCTATTTTTATAGACACCTGACTGTATGATTGCCTGTAACACATTTCCCATGAAGCTCCAGCTACAGTACACTGGCCATGTATTCTGGGTAGCTGAAATAGCCATGAAACTGTTTTAAATGATCATTTTAATTTTGTGGGGTGTGGAATGGCAGCTCAGAAAGAGTCAGGGTCTAAAGTTGTTTGAGCCGAAGTCAAACTTTAAAACTAAGCCATAGTTGAGATCTCTAAACCACAGGGACTATCTGACACTGAAGGGACGTTACCAGATAAGCTGATCAGGAGGCAGGTGTCTGCATTTTGTTTCTCAGGAGGTAGAAGGTGAGTTAGCAGAGAGTCAGGGAGGAGACTCCTCAATATCATCGGGGACTGGCAAGGAAACTCAATGTGAGTCTACACTGTCATACAGTCATGGAAACGCCACAGTACAGATGGTAGGAGTCAGCCAGGGAGAGGCATTTTCCTCTGGGACAGGTATGCAGGGAGTTGGAAGAAGAGGTGACAGCAGGGAAGAGAGCTGAAGATAAACAGGATGGACTGAAGGAAACACTGAGTAATACAGAGGACAAAATTGTAAACAAAAAAACAACATAAAATAAATTTTAGGAATAGAAATTTTGCATTAACTGTTTAACAACAGTTAAAGGGAAAGTTAAGATGAGCTGCACCACAGATTTGAATTGGACTACACATATTTGCAGTACACAGATTAACTGAGCTGCCGGAATAAGTGTTGCATGTATCTCCCATAAAATACAAATCACAGCTCTGCAAACTGTCAGTTTTGTGTGTTAATCCATCTTCACTTGCCCTCAAAAAGACCAAGTGTAGTCGACCGTTTGTGGTGAAATTGGTTTAGTTTGCGAATGTTCACCATGGCCAGCTCCTTATTTCTGGTGTGTATTCATTCATTCGATGCTAATTCATTAAAACATTGCACTGTGTATTTCCAATAAAAACAACATATCTCTGCAAAATTGCAGCTTCACGTGTGAATTTGTTCAAATTAATAGGACTGTAATTTGGTTTATTTTAGTCTGGGGGACACCTCAAACATCAAAGAGATGCTTTGGTAGTGGAGATATGTTGCATTGAGGCTGGTCTTCAAAGAGCTCAGCATTCATTCATTGAATACCTTTTTTCCAGTAGCATATTCACAGCTTCCTCTGAAGTGACCAGTTGCTCTCATCTACAGAAAAATCCATAAACTGAACCACAGAGATGCGCAGTATAAAGTACACAACGGCTGCATTTGATGCCATGATGCTCCCAAAAAACTGAGACATGTCAGTTTCATGAGAGAAGAATAGAAAACGTTCTTACTGAATTTGCTAAATTGACAGAGTGGCCATGTATCACCATGATAGCCTACTTTTACTGACTAACTACTACGCTATGTCAAAAGTCTTGCAATCCAAATTTTACTCAAGTAAAAGTACATAAATATTAGCAATGAATGTAGACTTTAGATTTAAGTTATGCATGTAAGTGCATACTTTTTTATGTTGTAGTTGCTAGAGGTGGAGATTTTAACTAGGTTAGCCTACTCCATAGACCTATATCATTGGGTAGTTTCTATAACAATGCAACTTTTTCTTTAATAAACTGATGATGTGTTTTGTTTCCTAGGCCTACCTACAATATAGTATGAAAAGTAGTAGCCTAACTATAGCAAACAAAAAATGTAGTAGGCTATAAAATGTAGTGAAGTAAGGTTAGCCTATAAAGGGGCATAAAATAAAATGTAAAGTACAAGTAGGATTCCTTAATAGGCTACTAGAACAGCCTAAATTTGTGTGTTTGGCTACTTTCATCCACTGTTTATTAGTATGCTCTGGACTGAGTCTTTTGCAACAAACTCCCATTACTCCAACAGGTGGTAACTTAGCTAGGCCCCTATGTGACAATTCTAAAAAGTAGGAAGTCCTTTATTCTCTTCTAATCTTTACATGCTCAGTAACTCACCGCTCTGTTGACCTTCAGAGGACTTTTTCTTCGAAGTGTGTTTGCCTCCGTCGGAGTCTTGTCTGCTCAGCACCTCGGACAGCGACTGGCGGGAACTCTGCCGTCCGGGTTGGCTCGCGACGTTGAACCGCGCGCTCCTCTTCCTGGCCCGGTCCGATTCGGGAGCGGACCGACTTCTCTCCGAGTCATGGTTCTCCGGCTCTGAACCCACTTTTACTTGCGCGTTTCTTGTCCTTGTTAGAGCAGAAGTCACCGAGCCCATCACCAAAAACGGTTAAAAGCTTCAGTTGGAATCGGTTTCTCTGACTCTCATTTCACTCAGATCCTGTTGAAACTTGACCCCATTTTAGTTTTACTCGCCAAATCCAATAAACAAAGTGCGCGGGAGGAGGGGGGGGGGCACAGCAACCTCTGTCATTCACAAACCGTGATCTTTTTAGCGAAGTTAACTGACAGAAAGATACCAAAAATGATGAAAGAACCGGTAAACAGAGTTTAACCGGATCATGTCGGCATCTCCCTCGACTAGCGTTTCCTCCGACGGACACGTCACAGGGAGAAAGTTGCTCACACTGATCTCTCGAGGGAGGCCGATGAAAACAAGCGACATTAATTAACTGGCAAGTATCCCGGATTAGCAGAAGTCCAACTGCACTGACTTGAATAGGTTTAATATTGTTAATGTAAAAACAACAGCCTACCAGTAGATTCCCTTTGTTAAAATAGCGTTTTAACGTAACTATGTAAACTATCGCGAGATTGGTCGCCTGGTCCGCACAAACTATTAAATTAAAATGTGATTTTACAAAGTTTCTGCCTGTAGGTATAGGTCTAGCTTGCTGTTCATAATCTACCACTGGAAGTAGTTCAATTGACGTAATCACCAACAGATGGCAGTCAAATACAGCAGGTTGGCAGTGGATTCAGAGATCATTTGATTTGTGAATCAATATCTGTCCCCTTTTATCAACTAGCCATGGGATCGGATCTTTTGTAGCCTGATTCTGATAAAACCATTTCTTATTTTCCATACTTCTACATTAGATCTCTCTGGGACCTGTAGCTTAAATTATCAATATTTAATATCAATATTCAGTCGTGAAAGGGGATCCTTTACATTAAGTAAGCCTATACAATGATGTAAAACAATTTAATTACAGAGTCCTGCATTCAAAATCTTATTTAAATAAAAGTAGGTTACAGTATTGTAGTAGGCCTATTTGCATGACTCATCCAGCAAAATGGCCTATTTACATATATTTGTAAGAGACACTGTAGCTGGTTGATGTGGAGCTAATTTAACAACTTTACACTGTTGGGTAGTTAAATTATCACAATGCATGAACCAATCATGTTTTACATGCAAATTCTTAAACTAAATACAATAGCAGGTCAAGTGAATCTAATAGTAATAGAGAATATTTTTAGAAGAGTAAAGGTATCAAGTAGCATAAAATGGAAAAGTAACTCAAAACTCTCTTTAAGTACAGCACTTGATTCAATGTACTTTGTTACATTATTACACAGCACATTAGATCTTATTATGCAAATTTAGTCTTTATACAACTTTTAAATAGTCTCACCTGTGACATTTAATTTTGTCAAGCATATTACAATTGATATTTACTTATAAGTTGTTGACAAACAATCTTACCTCAAGTTCAGTTTAGTAGCTGTTCTGGAGCTTTCAATCATGTTGTGTGATCATCTTCTTTAGATGGAGTTTGCCCAGCTGTCATGGAATTGCAGATGTTCAAAGGTCCTTTTTTTAACACTTACTTGTCCATGTTGTCTTGAAAGTTCTGACTTGACTCTGCTCTCCTTTTTAGGAAAACAAAGAGTCAAGGCTTGTAAGGTACCTGGGATGCTTATCCCACCAAGTCTCGGCAACTATCATTAAACTATGAAAACCACACGCTATCATAGCTTTATTACAAACACCTGTACAACCTGATGTTGTCCATAACAATAGCCCTGCGAAAAAGCCACTCTGTGAAGCTTGTAACTGGTTTCTGTTGATTTAACTTTGTATTATATTTCATGGTGTTCCTAATACTTCCTAATACTTGTCTCTTTTGTGTATGTAAATGTCTTTAGGGTAAGGGCAGCAGGGTGTGGTGAGTTGCAATCCAAGGACCCTGCTGGAGCTCCTGAATAGTAAGAACTGTCCTGCAGATATGTTCTGAATCCTTCAGGTTGACATCCCTTTAGAAAGCAGTGACTGAAAAATAATTTCCCTACATAGATTATAAGTATCCTATCTATATTACGTGCCTGACATAATGCAGGGCAACTTATCCGACTGTCAGTGAGGACAATACAAGCAATTCACTCATTTACGATGACAAAATGTATGTTCATTTTGGTCTTTAGTGTCTTCTGTCTGCTTTCAAAAACATAAAAAATACACCTGTCTCCAAATTAGTTTTGCTTCTTGAAACAGCCAGTGTTGAATGTTTTTACCTCATTGAAAATGAGAGTGTAAGATTTAAAGACTGATTGCACAATTATATTACTTGAGAACGTGGATGTTTTTACAGTTCATGCATTACTTAAAATCAACCTTTTTTCACATGAAGAAATGTTTTACCTAATGCTTCCATAACGTGTCGCAAAGTATTACACCTCGTGCACAGTACAGAGTTACGGTCTTAATGGTTTATTGCTGCGTACAGGCAATTGTGACATCTTTAGCGTACAGGTTTCCTGGAGTGTGCATGCTGTTCTGATCAAAAATACTACTTTGGTTACAAAGAAAGGTTTTGTAGACCTCAATAAGGATTTCTATTTTGTGCTGATTTCATTATTGTGTCTAAACAAAATGTGACAAAGGATAATACTTTCAGCAGAGGAGGAAGCAAAATACAGTCTGTGTCAACTAACAGGCTTACTGGTTCATCACATATAAAGGCACTTTTAGAAGCGGTTTGCTTTTTGTGTGTTGTTGGTTTGTTTGCTTGCTTGTAGACCCGGTGAAGTGTGTTTCTTCGTATTGCTTTAGATGATTGTTTGGGAAAAACAAAGACATTATTACTCCATGTCATCATGGTTCTGGGTGGACTCATTGATCACCTGAACAAGGACATAAGAGGACAGAGAAAAGGTGATGAGGTGTGTGTCTGAGCTCAAACGACCATGAGAATGTTACTTTGATTTAAAATCGCTTGGAGTGGATTCTACCTGACCATCCCGGGTCTCAATGGTCTTGATGAGAACCTTCTTGGTTGTTGTGCTTTCAACGTGAGGTCTGGAATCAATCATTGTTTCTGAAATAAATAAAAATGTGTGTTGTATTATTAATTGCGCAATTTAAAATCCAAGACTAACATTACTGCTGTGAAATCAACATGGAGAATGTGATCCTACCTCTCACGTTTAGAGACGAGAAGTTTGGCAGAGGGGTGGAGATTCTGAAAATGGAGAAAGTACAGTCCACCAATCAATACATGTTGTTGATGGCATGAATATGTTCACGTGCATATCTGTCAGCTTGACATTGTGAGTGTCTTTTTTGAAGATGCAAGGTTATGATCCATCACCTGCTCTCCTCTCCTTCCAGCAGCTTCCTGTAGGTGGCAATCTCGATGTCCAGGGCCATCTTGACATTTAGGAGGTCCTGGTACTCCCGGAGATGGCGGGCCATCTCGTCCTTCATGTTGTGAATGTCCTCCTCCAGACGGCCGATGGTGTCCTGGTAACCACCTGACTCCATGGAGAAGTTCTCCTCCATCTCTCTCATCTGGCGCTCCATGGACTCATTCTGGGGCAGCAGCAAAAGTGACAGTTTATCAGTGAAAAAAACTTTGGTTATTAAATTGCTTTCAAACGCATGCAGTGTATTTTCTGAACTTTTTGTGCTCTTGATTCCAGCCATATACAGTGGGTACGGAAAGTATTCAGACCCCTTTAAATTTTTCACTCTTTGTTTCATTGCAGCCATTTTCCAAAAATCAAAAAAGTTCATTTTATTTCTCAGTAATGTACACTCAGCACCCCATCTTGACAGAAAAAAACAGAAATGTAGAAATTTTTGCAAATTTATTAAAAAAGAAAAACTGAAATATCACATGGTCATAAGTATTCAGACCCTTTGCCGTGACACTCATATTTAACTCAGGTGCTGTCTATTTCTTCTGATCATCCTTGAGATGGTTCTACACCTTCATTTGAGTCCAGCTGTGTTTGATTATACTGATTGGACTTGATTAGGAAAGCCACACACCTGTCTATATAAGACCTTACAGCTCACAGTGCATGTCAGAGCAAATGAGAATCATGAGGTCAAAGGAACTGCCAGAAGAGCTCAGAGACAGAATTGTGGCAAGGCACAGATCTGGCCAAAGTTACAAAAAAATTTCTGCTGCACTTAAGGTTCCTAAGAGCACAGTGGCCTCCATAATCCTCAAATGGAAGACGTTTGGGACGACCAGAACCCTTCCTAGAGCTGGCCGTCCGGCCAAACTGAGCTATCGGGGGAGAAGAGCCTTGGTGAGAGAGGTAAAGAAGAACCCAAAGGTCACTGTGGCTGAGCTCCAGAGATGCAGTCGGGAGATGGGAGAAAGTTGTAGTAAGTCAACCATCACTGCAGCAATCCACCAGTCGGGGCTTTATGGCAGAGTGGCCCGACGGAAGCCTCTCCTCAGTGCAAGACACATGAAAGCCCGCATGGAGTTTGCTAAAAAACACCTGAAGGACTCCAAGATGGTGATAAATAAGATCCTCTGGTCTGATGAGACCAAGATAGAACTTTTTGGCCTTAATTCTAAGTGGTATGTGTGGAGAAAACCAGGCACTGCTCATCACCTGTCCAATACAGTCTCAACAGTGAAGCATGGTGGTGGCAGCATCATGCTGTGGGGGTGTTTTTCAGCTGCAGGGACAGGACGACTGGTTGCAATCGAGGGAAAGATGAATGCGGCCAAGTACAGGGATATCCTGGACGAAAACCTTTTCCAGAGTGCTCTGGACCTCAGACTGGGCCGAAGGTTTACCTTCCAACAAGACAATGACCCTAAGCACACCGCTAAAATAACGAAGGAGTGGCTTCACAACAACTCCGTGGCTGTTCTTGAATGGCCCAGCCAGAGCCCTGACTTAAACCCAATTGAGCATCTCTGGAGAGACCTGAAAATGGCTGTCCACCAATGTTTACCATCCAACCTGACAGAACTGGAGAGGATCTGCAAGGAGGAATGGCAGAGGATCCCCAAATCCAGATGTGAAAAACTTGTTGCATCTTTCCCAAAACGACTCATGGCTGTATTAGATCAAAAGGGTGCTTCTACTAAATACTGAGCAAAGGGTCTGAATACTTATGACCATGTGATATTTCAGTTTTTCTTTTTTAATAAATTTGCAAAAATTTATTTCTACATTTCTGTTTTTTTCTGTCAAGATGGGGTGCTGAGTGTACATTACTGAGAAATAAAATGAACTTTTTTGATTTTTGGAAAATGGCTGCAATGAAACAAAGAGTGAAAAATTTAAAGGGGTCTGAATACTTTCCGTACCCACTGTATGGATTGAAGACATTGAGGTTTTTGCATCATTACCTTACATTTCTGTGTAAGCCTAAAGTTGCATACTCACAGTTCCTTTAAGGGCATCCACTTCACAAGTCAGTGCCTGAACTTGGCGTCTATAGTCATTGGCCTCTTGCTTGGC